CGGGAGAGGTTCCCAGTCAGGCGGGCAGGTAGCCGGGAGAGGTTCCCAGTCAGGCGGGCAGGTAGCCGCGAGAGGGGCCTAGTCAGGCAGGCCGGTAGCCGCGAGAGAGGTCCCATCAGGAGGGGAGGTAGCCGCGAGAGGGAAACAGGAAGATCTGAAACGGGCAACATAGATAAACCCATTCATCTAGGAGATGACTCTGACAACTTGCCTCCATACCATCGAGACGAGACACTCAGAGATTCTTGGGGTCATGAAGATGATAGAATGCAAGAGGAATTTCCTTTAGATAGCCAAGATGACCCTTCTTTGGAGCATGACCGATTGGATGACTGGGAAAGAGACCGATACTGGAGAGATCACAACTCTGACTATCAAGATGATTCTGTAGATGTGTATGACAGAGATGACAGGCTGCAATCTCACCATTCATTGCCTCCATTATCTCCCCTACCACCACTACCTCCTTTATCATCTGATCATGACAGACGAGATTCGTGGTGGGATGACTGGAAAAGGCCAAGAGAGAGGGAACTAGAGAGAGATCTAGATAGGACTGGAAGATCTTCGGATATTTATGATCAAGATTTAGACAGACAATGGGATAGAGACTGGGACATGACACCTACGGATGACAGAGAAATGGGGAATCGTGACTTGGATATCCCCTCTCTACCACCATTACCACCTCTTCCACCTCTGGACAGATATCGTGAAGATAGGTGGAGGGAGGATAGGAACAGAGATCATTATGACAGAGACCTCCGAGACAGAGGGGAGTTGAGAATTCGAGAGTATCCAGAGAGATACGACACATGGCGGGAGAAGCAAGACTACCTTCCTGAAAGGACTGATTGGGAGAGGGAACGGATGTCAGATAGGTGGTATCCAGATGATGGAGACAGACTGCGGTCTTTGGAGGATCGTTCAGATTCATCCCTTCCTCCACCTTCACATTCCTCTGATATGCTGGGAGCAGATTCAAACCTGGACTCTGACCAGTCCTTGGGAGGAGTGATGGTCCTTAGCCAAAGACAGCATGAGATAATTCTGAAGGCTGCTCAGGAGCTCAAAATGCTTCGGTGAGTTGCCTGGTTCTGTCACTTTGGGTGAGAATCCCATTCTGTGGAGATGGTCCTCCTTTCGTAATTCATTCTTTGATTTACACAGTAATGACTTAATTTCTTTTCGCCACAGCATGATAGTGGGAGCTCATGTGTAACAAGTTATTTGAAGTACCTCCATCACAGCTTTTGTGAATGGACTTTTTTTCTTAAATGGATGGTTGTTCCCTCCTCCATGAATATGACATTGCCTGTTTGTTACTTTCCAGGAAGAGATCTGTCCACATCACCTGACCAATCTGTTTGTTATCCTCAAATGAGGTTGTTGATAATTACTTTTCAATCTTTTTATTACTGTCAGATGATCTTGTTGATAATTGCTTTTTAATATCTACTTGTCAAGATCTACATTAACGTGGTTCTTAATTCACACAATGGGACCTATTTAATTTTTGGATACTGCTTTTTAATTAAAGCATATGTGGGTTTTTACTTTTTACAACGCTCCCTTATTTGAAATCCAGCATTGTCAGTGAATAATTTTGTCAAATTTGGTTCATTTTAGTTCTGACGATCAGCATAACAACAGTGATAACAATCAGGAGAATATGAATGTAAGAGTTTGCCAAGACCACATTTTAGAAAGCAGCTACTAGACTCCCTAAGACTTTAATAGATGTTTATTTCAAAATAAGTAGTAGAATATCCTCTTGAACATCAGAAACATCATAGTGCTCAGTAAATTTGGTAATATTAGAATGAATGGAGCACATACCATCTATCCAAATGCTATCTTTGTGATTTGGTGCATGAGTTTAGGTGCATTAAATGTTTTAGTTTATTAAAAAAAAACCCAAACCCAAACAAAACCAAAAAGATTAGTTTCTTCAACTATTTTCAGTGAATGAGATCTTTCAGAGGAGATTGTAGAGAAAAGAGGAAGCATCCTAGAGACAGAGGTTCATGTGGTGCATCCTATTCATGAGTTACCGAGAGATAGCTAGGGCTTGGTGCCTAGTAAAGGCAGGGCTTTAATCTCATAAACAAGAAATTATGCTAAAATAATGGACAATAAAAATTAATGTTTGATTATCATTATTTCATTTTCATTATTTCAAACAATTAATGCTTGGTTATCATTATTTCATTTACATTAAACCATGTCAAAAGACACAGAGACGTTTTGCACTTTTCTTGAAGCTCTTTTTTCAGACTCACAAGATTGCTAAGCATCTGTCCCATATGGAAAGCCTTAGTTGCATGCCAAAAGAAAATAAAAATAATTTTTAAAGAAGAAAGAACTTTTATTCTGAATGATTTAATCTTTCACTGCAATTCAACAGGTGTTAGTAACTGTGAAATCTGTGTTATAAAGCAACATCTGCCAAAAGTTTAGAGCAGTAGATCATTTTCAGCTTCCTGGCTTTCCCGTTGTCTCAGGTTGCCAGGCATATGTTTTGCTGTTTAATGTGACTAGCTGCAACCCAGTGGACTTAAGTTTAAGGACCATAGCTTGGGAATCACTGCTTAAATGAATAATTTATTAGGGCTGAAATATTTAAACGTAGGAACTAAAATGTTTTATGTAAGAAAGTAGATACATATACCTCTTTCTAAGCCAGTGAAAAGGGGAAATATAAACCTGATACTTCTGATACTGATTACTAATTGAATATGAGGATAATCTTAAAATTAGTTACACTAATGCTTCTCATCAGGTTCTTATAAGCAGTTGATACCAGTCTGAACAGAAAGAACAACTTTAAGGAGACTGTTTATGATTTTTTTTTTTTTTTGGAGCCAAGAGTTATACCAGTAGTGTGGTGCATAACTGCATTCATCTCCAATGATAAAGCCTTCATCTGGCTTTGCTTTTATTGTGTATAAAGCAGCCCTCTCTGAGCCGCGTGCTGTTCTGTATTTGTCATCTGGTGTAATTTTCCTAAGCCAGGTGTGAAGAAGACATAAGTGCTTGCAATTGCTCAGTTTACTCTTTGTACTAATGCAGCACTTGGCATCCCTTTCTGTGAGCCAAGTTCCTCTTGCTCTGGACGCTGAACAGATGGGTTGCTAGTCAGGATGGCGTCTGTTGTGCCTAGTACAGAGGGATCCCTTTCTTAGTTTTTCATTGGGAGCTGCTTTAATACACACAATTAATATGAACAAAGAGTTATTCACAATAAAAAAACATAGATTAAAAAAAATGCTAACAAAAACTGAAAGGAAAGGAAATCATGCTGAATAGAACTTTATAATCCAGTGGTTGTTCTGCTGCTGGTTCTGGTCTCTGCTCCATAGACTATGTATTGGTCATATACTAAATAGCATTTTGATATATAAAGCACGGAAACAAAAGTTAAAGTCACTGTTTGTTTTTTAAATATTGCAGTTTCTGTTTTGCATTGTTGGCCTCAGTCCTGTTAGTGTGTAAACAGAGCAAGTCACTGAGAGCACTTAACGCATGTATTTCCAGTCGTTGTCTTGTTTGCAGGTGTTGGCAGAAGCTAAAAAATCCAGTTTTGCACTTCACTGTCGAAGTGTAGTGGTTCTAGCCAAGCACAAAGCATAACTGCATGCCTCAGGGGAAATTTGTGATCAAAGAAGGATGCAGCTAATACACTGAATACCTCCACTGAATTGTCCATAGAAAGCCTACTGTGTCCTTTTCTTCTTTGGACTTGGCCTCCGATGCTAGTGTAATATGTGGTTTTCACCATGAGTGTTGATTTCTTTAATTTTTCATTTAAGCTACAGACTGATAACGCTTTCTTGTGATTCATATGCAGAGAGCAAAAAGAACAGCTACAGAAGTTGAAAGAGTTTAAACCTGACATTTCCACACAGGACTCTCCAAGATCACAGAACACAAGCACAAGGCCAGGTGCCTTTCAGGTAAATTCATCTTATGTTAACTTAATAACGTGGTATTAATTGCTATTAGTGTGTATGTCAGATCAGTTCTACGCTCTGATGGTCAAACTTCTCTGTGGAATGCCTCACCAGCAACCCTCACCTCCTCATCAATCTTCTGTTGAGGCAAAGCAACTTCTTGGTTTCTTTAGATATTCCAAAGCCTTTTCTATTCATTCAGTCCACCATGTCTTCTGAGCATGGCCCACTGGGGACAGTAGTACATGAGGTTCAACAGCCTAGATTGCTGTG